TGATATCACAATCATCATCGAGAACAACATATCAAAGATCTGTCATGAAGTACAATGCTGTCTATGATAGGATAATATCTAATAACCTACAAGTAAGACCAGTTAATACCACAGTTACTTAAATTTACCCATATTTTCCAACCACTAAAGCTAGTGATGATGAAACTGAAGAATTCTACCAACTTCTTCACATTGAAATTGATCAAAGAGGCCATCAAGATGTACTGACAATTACTGGCGATTGGAATGCAGAGGTTCAAAACTATCAGGAAGGATCAGTGGTTGGAACATATGGGCATGACAAAAACAAAGCTAGACATTGAATGATAGAATTTTGCAAGACCGATGACTGGTTCATTGCAAATACCTTTTTTAAACATAAAAGATGACTGTCATACACATGGACCTCACCAGTTGGAATACACAAAAATCAAACTGATTACATCTGCAGAAAGAGGTGGTGGAAAAGCTCCATATCATCAGCCTATAAACAAGGCCAGGGACAGACTGTGGAATAAAACATCAATTTCTCAAATGCAAATTCAGGCTGAAGCTGAAGAAAATTCAAACAAGTTCACAAGAGCCAAAATATGACCTTAAGCACACCTCACCTGAATTCAGAGATCATCTCAAGAATAGATTTAATGCATTAGACACTAAAGATCAAAGACCAGAAGAGTTACAGGATGACATTAAGAACATCATACAGGAAAAAGCAAAAGGTCATTAAGAAAACAAGAAAGAAGAAAAAGACCAAAATTATTGCCAGAAAAGACTCTGAAACTTGCATTCCAGCATAGAGATGCAAAAGCAAATAAAAGTGAGCAGGTATATGAGTTCAACACAAAATTTCAAAGGTGTTGGAAGAAGCACAGCCAGACTAGAGTGCTCCTCGAAAGACTAGATGGCCAAATTTTGTCTCTCATACCTCAAACATATTATCAGGAAGGACCAGTCCCTGGAGATGGAATCATGATTGGTAAATGGAGAGTCGGAGAAAAAGAGGCAGACCCCCAACAAGATGGGCTGGCACAGTGACAGCCACTATGGGCTCAGGCCTATTAACAATTGTGGCATTGGCACATGACCAGTGTTTCGTTCTGGTATGCACAGAGTTGCCATGGCAACTACCTACTAACTACTATTACTGTAGTATACATATAAATTTTATATGTACTGGGAAACCAAAGAATCTGTGGCTCACTTTTTGCAGCATTCATTATATTGTTGTGATCTGGAACCAAAGTAACAATATCTCCA